TCTTCCACAAGAAAAGTTATCTTATTACACACAGGCAGTAAATTCTCGTATTTCCAAGAGAATAAAAATATATTCCCCCTTTCACTCTCTGATTATAGGATTTTGGAATTGAATTAAAAAAAAAAAACCGACACAGCTATTAATTTTATCATTTTATCTTGCACGCGTGATGTGTCGCAATACTAGATAAAAACTAATTGCATTGTCTACCTTCAGAAAATCCGTCATTGCTCCCCTTGAAGACGACGTAGTGACCTTCGATCAGACGTTCCTATTTTGAGAGTGGAGCGCCTCAAAAAAAAAATCCCTGGAAACGCCTGATCACGGGTTAAAGACTCGGTGACCTAATTAACACCTGTGCATAGGATCCTCTTGCTTTGTTCTTGAGCAAGATATATTCACCTCTCACAGTTCTATTTCCATTCAGGAGTCAGGGCTGCAAATAACGGCCGGTCAACGGATAATGTCCGGTCAAAATTGGGTACTGACCGGACAAATCCTTGTTTTGCCGGACATCTTGTCCGGTCCTTTACCGACTCGTTCAAAGAAATTTTAATTTTTAACTGTTTGATAAGGGACACAAGTCAAGGGACACAAGGGACACAAGGGACACAGTCATGTTTCCAAAAGAAAAAAAAAATCAATATAAAAGTAGACAAATTAATGGTCGAGAAATTCCCGGCAGTCGCAAATTTCCGCGATGTCATCAAGTCCTATCGCGACCGCAAATCATGATTGTGTCTTCCGTTATTTTATTTACTTTATTTAAGTGTTCCCAGTTAGTAGAGGGTTTTACATTTGGCTAGATACCATCATTTACTCTTAAATAAAGTGATCGATTGTTTGATCGATTGAATGATCGGAAAGCACCCTCACGAAGAATAATCTTGTTGCATCGAGAATACTCCAAGTAGCATTTGTTGCAAAGTGCAAAAAGCGAGTAAAAGGCCCAAAACCTGGAGAATCCGACCACTCTTTTACTCTAACAAAGATTCACAGCTGTAACTTTAAAAAAAGGGCTCTGAGTGTGATATTTAGTTATAATTGATTTTGCCAGATGTAAAGTAAAACGGACAATTGCGGTTGTATCTTGCGTAACCGTCCAACGTACTCAATGCGAGGCTGCTTCTGCAGTAAAGACTAGTAAAATTATTAACTTGTAATTCTTATTGCCAGACCGACCTGGATTCAGTTGT